ACTACACGATCACTGTACGATCACTACACGATCACTGTACGATCAGTATACGATCATTCTACGATGAATATACGATCATTGCGATGATTTTATTTACCTTCTAGTGGCGCAGTTCCTGGTGTCGCCACAGGTGATGSCGGAATTGATGGTGCCGATGATRCTGTTGTTAGAGAACCTGATGATGGTGTTGCTTTAGATGCGACAACTCCGGTTGTTGGTGGCGCAGCTGATGATATTTTTGTAGTAGGGGATGATGCTGTTGATTCTATTGCAGTAGTAGTTGCACCAGTCGATGCTGCTGTAGTTGAGGGTGCAGCAGTAGGACCTACTGTTGTTGGTTGCTCATTTGTTGCTGGTGCAGATGTTGATGTTGTAGGAACTGTACTTGTGGTTGTTGCTGTTGTTGTTATCACCGAAGACGTCGGCGGTGCTGTATTTGTTGTTGTTGTCGTGTAGGATTCTGTTGTTGATTCTGGAGCTGTTGTTGTGGTTGTTGTTGTGTAGGTTTCTGTTGTTGATACTGGAGCTGCTGTTGTGGTTGTTGTTGATGTTGTTGTTGTGTAGGATTTTGTTGTTGATGCTGGAGATGTTTTTGTGGTTGATGGTGTAGTTGATGGAGTGGTCTGATGGACTGTATAGTGCTGAGTAATTGGTTTTTCGGTTGAACCTGCAAATTAACCCACATTACAAATAAAGAATATATGTGCAACGAAATTTAATGCAGATCCGTGATGCTTGAATTGCTGCAGATGATTTTCCAGTCGTTTTCAATGCGCATTGAGATTGTTTGTATACAAAATTAAAGTAGACGCATCTAATAAAAACTGAGACACTTGCTTTAGATGCTCTGACTTCTTAACTGCTATTTGTTTTTTGTTCTGTTTTATTGATCTATTTCTTTTGGGTTTGCTTTTGTCCATTTTTTGAATTATAGTTTTGATTTTCTTCATCTGCTTATTCTGCTTTTGCTACAGTTTTTTGTCGTTTTCCTATATGATTTATTGATCCACTCACGTTCGAGGACATAGGTTGCGTTTGGTTTCCCTTTGCATTCTGAAAATCAACAATGAATGACAATTAGCTGTGAAACAGAGAATGCTAGCACATAATTGCTCCTGTTTTAGTGAGGACCATATATATACTTACTCTGGATAATTTTTTTCTCTTTGGTAACTGTAGTGATGATAAAGAATTCACATTCTTCTTCTGAATGATAAARGCAATTAGCAGAGATCAATAAAGTACAATTTGATGTTTGTTAGTTTGTGTTGTTCCTGGTCATTGAACATTGATGTCTATACCTGTGGGTATGGAGACTATTTCCTCGTAAACATATTCACAGTTCACAATACAGTTAACTTGAAGAAATTCTGGCAGTTAATTTTTATAAATATATCTATACATAGTGTAGTTGATATTTAAAACCAAAATCCTTTGTTCTAAAGGTCCGTTTACACTTGCGATTTTTGAAGCGCGATTGTCGCGCCGCAATCGCCTGAGTTTCAAGCATGCTTGGAATTTAGCTGCTACTCGCGGCGATTTTCTATCGCCGCGACAATCGCAGNAATAATTATATATATTTCCATGGAGATACATGCAGTTCTGCACATGCATCTTGTTCATTGTCATATGCTTAACATATTTCTATTAGTAAGACTAATGAGGAAAATGAACTTTATGCCATAATTAAACTTTTAATTTTATTTCATAAAAATATAATGTTTGAAAAAAAAAATAAGAAAAATGTATATTTAAATGACTATCTTGTATTATTTTCGTTTTGTGTGTGTGTGTTTTTATTTTGTTGTTCACTTATTCTGATAAGTGGTCGAGGTCTAATACAAGATATATGGAAATAGTAACAAAACATTTGCAGAAATCGTCATGGAAATGAAATGAATGAAATCATGTTTTTTAAACAACAGAAAATATTTCAAACTAATGTCTAGCAGTATACTGGCAAATATTCAAAGATATATCTGGCCTATTGCCTTGCCCGCAGGTTTTATGTTTTCACAACATAACCTTAACAACAGTATAATTAAATACTTCGAGGTACTATCTCGTGCACATAATCAGTATACTGGCAGACATTCACAATAATAAAAAAATCATATCTGGCTTGTTGCCTTGCAGGTTCTTAATAATATATGTTTTCGCATCATCACCATGACTTGCATGGCTCTCATTGTATTGCCAATTAATCAGCCCTCACTGTAAAAATACAGTAAAGTCCCTTACGATAAGAGTCAGGGGAAACAATACTTATTGAGAAAGAAGCCCTGAAGGAAGCATTTCCTGATAGAATCGTGATGTCAGCAGATTAATAACTTTGATAAAATTAATTATAAGAAGGACTACTTAAAACAAACAATAGTCATTTTAGAAGACGATTTCAAAGAAACTCGAGCCATTTTGTGAAGGCCTTTTCAGTCGATTTTAATCAAATTTASTGCAGTAAGCCATCTGCCGATTCTCGGCAACATTAATAAACTAAGAGATCAACAAAATTCTTCAGTTCTGAAGCTGTGTTCAAAGAGAAATGTTTATCATGTATTTCAAGAATCAASGCTTGTTTTTGTACTTCTGGGCTGTTCTATGGACTAAATGTCASTACTCAATTTCAAATGTCAATGCAAGTAGCAATGGTAAGCTGGAAATAATCAAATGAACCTTAGTTAACTTACGTATAAAGGTACAAATAGCGATAAAAATATTTAATCCTGTTTATCAGTCCTTCTKTTCTATCACAGTTTGATTTAATGAAAACAAAGAAAGCAAAAAACGCTTGGTTTTAAGTGGGAAATAAAGAGCTGAGTGTGATATGGGAATTAATCTCTATCACAACGATAAAAACATTCAGATAAAAMATGTAATAATTACCTCTAATTAGCTTATATACCTATTCAAAAAAGATGTCGGATCATGGCGAATGCCAATGGTCGAACGGCAATTGCACGACTGAAAGTAGCCCTGGGTTTTGCCAATTGACGAGAAATATAACAACTGATTTATATACTGTAAGATGGTTTGTGGTGAACATTGGCTCCATTTAGTCTCCACTTCGTTCTAAGCAAGGTGAATCCAATAAGTGAAATTTTGCTTGTCAAAACTGTGTAATCATAGGCCCTTTTGTTCGTGCAATCTCTCTTTTGACATGATCGCCGTGTGCCGTTTTCCCAAACAACATTTTTTTTAGATGTGGTGGTACGTTCAAAAACACAAAATGTATAGTCTGAAGTCGCTACTGCTTTCATATTGCGCATGGAAGGATTTTTCCCAGAATAATATATATTGGCACCTTCCAAAATGTCAGATTATAGGTTTAAGTGGATCATAAGTATTAGCTATATATATTGGAAGGGTTTTGTATTATTCATATGAAGATTACGATGACCAAAGTGAGGACATTAGAGGGATTTTTTTCCGTCCACGGTGAAAAAACACCTGATTTAGTTTGTACAAAGTTGATACCGCTAACTGGATAATTAGTGTGAATATTATTAACCTATTTGCTGCATAGGTTTATATATACTTTCTGATAACTTCTTTTATGTCTCGAATGGCGCATAGAATGCGTCATACATTTTGAGAAGTACATTTTCATGTATAAATGCGCGAATATTTAATTTYATTTGGACAATAATGGTAATTTGAAAGTGAGAAATTAGAAACAAGCAAATGACGCGTCGCTGATATGCAAAAAGTCTCTGTAAATTCGAAAATATTCAAAACTCAGCAAAGATCTAGTTTTTCGATATTCAAATTATCGAGATCTTAATTGAAAAGCTTGTATAAAAAGAGAAAAAAAGAGAGAACATCTACAGAGTTGTGTTTTACACTTACACGACCTGAAATTATCTCACGGCAGACGTGTATTAGTATAATAATGATTCTTTTAGCAAGCACGTCACAGAACTCGTTTAGAGTATTTTTCACCATGAGTTTACATTTGATTACCGGTGAAAAAATCGTTTTACGTCGAGAGCTCCTGTTAATTGGGATGCTGTGCACTATGTGAAGGTGCAGATAAAATCATACACACTCATAATCAATGACATTCATTTTATAGATGCTAACAGCACAAGTACTGACTGGAATACTCCCTGCAACACTACTCAATTCAAAAACTGCTCCTTAAAAGAAAACTCAACAACTTCTAGTCAAAACAAAGCAGTGGTCAATGCTTCTACCTATCTAATGGTACATTTAACGTCTTTCATTGATCATCTCACGTCGTCAGAAAGATGTGAATACGTACAGAGGATTAAAAGAAATGAATACACAGTGTACAACCATTCAGCAGTTTTAGTACAAGCTTTGGACAAAGTTATTACCTCAGATTTTTATATTGTTATTGGCGATGGTATCTCAGCCAATCAGAGTCAAGGAATACTTTTATGCTGGAAATATCATTTTCCTGCTTCGGATGACCCGTGTGTCGAAAACAGACCAATGAAGAAWTTGGTAAATGTGTCAGACCTGCCACTAAATCAGTCAAACGTGTTAGCTGCGCAAACTAAGAAGAAAGTTCACAGAAAAAGAAGATCTGAAATTATAAGTGACATCTGTGCGCCAGTAAACAAAGTCACAAGCTTTAAAGGGAAAAAAGACGTGTCTCAGAAGGACAACTTGATCCTAACCGTACTGACCTTTACCTTCATGTTGCTGTCCGTGGTAGCCTTGGTRATAGTCCTTGTTACCTATTCCCTGTTCTCCGAGCTGCGAACGCCTCCAGGCATCAACCTCATGAACCTTAGTGCTTCAATCCTTTTGTCACAGCTGTTATGGATTACTGGAAGCAAACGAACTGAGAATCAACTGGCTTGTACTGCCATAGCTGTACTACTTCACTACTTCTTCCTGGCTTCGTTCGTGTGGACGTCAATCATTGCTTTTGACACCTGGAAAACATTCTGTGGAAAAAGACGATTGCGAAAGTCAAAGATGACTCCCATTCGATATATGGCAGCTGGGTGGCTTTCTGTCATGGTGTACGTGTCGATCTGTGTCAGCCTTGAAAAATCAGAAGTTGTTTTCATAGGATACGGGTCACGTGTTGTGTGCTGGATTTCCAACAGCTACTCCAGCTTGTACTTCTTCGGCATTCCTGCAGGTAATATTATAGTAGCAACACAATAGTAAAATATATCATTTCCATTACATCTAAAGAATGATTTGACGTTGAATTTAACGGCCGGATAAATAAAGAAAAATTAGCGTAAAATTAAATTCCTGGATTGTCATTAAAATATTGTTGAATTAATGTTTGTGTTCTCATTTCAGGACCACACATGTACGTATGTGCGAGATTATATCATAGTTGCGATGGATTGGCAAAATAGTTAATATGCAGCGGCGTCATACTGTGTATTGTGTTTGCTATAATTTGGTTTAAAACTCTTTTTTCTTCAGGTCTTGTGATAGTGTTCAACACCGTGCTGTTTTCATTGACAGTCAAAGGTATCAGAAACACGCGCAAGCAAACCAGACCAGCAACGGTGTCAAACCAAACAGAGAGCAGCCTTCATTTGTCCACCTATGTACGCATAGCCTCTCTGATGGGCTTCACATGGGTCTTTGGTTTCGCGGACTCGTTTACGGGCTTGGTGTACCTGTCTTATGTCTTTGTTGTCCTACACAGCCTTCAAGGTGTCTACATAGCAGCTGCCTTTGTCTTTACCAGACGAACAAGGAAGTTATACATGAATATTTTCCAAAAAAAACGAAGAGGAAGGCAAAGTAGTGGAGCTACCCGTACTTCACAGGCTGATTAAGTACTTGTGTTGATGTAACAATTCATTGCGACTGAAAAATTTAGTTACTGAGCAAACACCCTAACATGGGATCTCTTCTTCTCTTCATACACTTATCAGATATTTAAACTTTATTTTGTAATGAAGAGAAAAGATAAAAATAGTAATGCAATAAACTGTCTGCTAATGTATTTAAAAAGTTGCTTGACAAAGRTTAGCAATTGCTAAATATGTTTTTAATGCCTGAAAACAATTCTGAAAGTTTATATATAAAAAGTTGTATAAATTGTACAATTAATCGATGACTATTTTAACGTTTCAGACGCTCTCACATATCAACATTGACTTATTCTTCGTTTTCAGGTTACGTCAAAGCAGCGGCCATCTTGGAGGAAYTTCAACAAAGGATTTCTCATTAGTAGCTATTGTTCATTCCTCCAAMATGGCCCCCGGTCATTTATCTTTTGAATCTTATACAGTGTGAATGTTTGAAAATGTCTTTTTTTAACATTAAAGACACAAAAAAAGAGACCCAAAGTAAGTTTTGTAGGCAAGTACTTACTGTATTGAACACACTTCCACAGCGACTTAAGTATCATCCTCGTCTGTGAAACGTCTAATGTAATATTAGTATAGTATAAACCAACCAAACTCAAGGGCATGTAAATGAAAGTATTTCCCATGGTGCTTTCTGGGTGCTAGCTGGTTTTAGTTAATGAAATATATTAAATGTRTACCGTAAAGCAACGTGCATGATTAATCAATCCAGTATCATTGTAAAAGCGACATCATTTAATGTATATACTGAMTTATTTGAGTTCTATTTTAAAGAAATCAAAAAAATAAGCCAACTGAAGCTATTCTGAGCATGCTGACCTTATAATGATAAAAACTATAAAAATATTAAGCTGAATAGTGYAATAAAGATTTGACTTGAAGTTGACTTGAYTTGGCATGTGACTTGATTCAGTATAGTTATTGCGAACTAGGCCCTAATCCAGCCCGACCCAACCCTAACACAACATAATACGATTTTTTGCGGCCCCGTATTCTATAGTCATTCGCGCGCTGTGATTGGCTAGCGCGCAGTCCGATTTTTCACGATCTGCTCGCTCCGACATTATCCTGCAGCTAGGCTGCGAGCAAAGTTGCATAAAATACAAATAAAAAACATAAAAATGTTATTTRCCGGCTATAGGTCGGTCCGTATAGAAAAATACTGCCCTCGGTCTTTTATGTACGCTCTCGTTCCGTACTGTCAAGACCTCGGGCAGTGTTTTCCTATACGGACCTCCCAACTGGTAAATAACAAATACATCTGCCACTACTCCAACCCCAACCTAGGGACTGCACAATATTTATCAGGAGGGGGGTTGAGAATCGAGAGGGGGGTGAACAAAATCTAATTTTATGTGCTTACAGAAAGAGGGCAACATCTAAAATTGACAAGAACTTTAATTGGGAAACAGAAAAATCGACGGTGTCAGATTCTGTGCTTTTTCGCCAAATACTTATTGAAGTGGAAAACTTCTCAAAGAAAGCGTGCCACGATTTGCGCCAACTCTTTATTGTTCACGAACTGGGTACGACATCAAAATCATAGCTTGTTATTGCATCTAATTTCGCCAGTAAAAMATGAGATATCAAAATATTAAAAAAATCACTCATTTCATCAAATATCTACGCTTCTTATAGTTTCTCAAATATGAAAATTAGGATAAATTGCTGAAGATCCTCCAATAATAAAGTCTTCTCATTTTTAAGGTATTCTCACCTACTCTTTAATTATACAGCAAGGTTAATAAACTGAAGGCAGGCTGGATAATTACATACTACCGTCTAACGCGCTACTTTGCACCCAGTGATGCAATAGCATAAGGCCTTTGTCAAGCTATTCTACTTCTTTCGGCTCGCTGCTACTTTCCTCCCATATAGCAAATATCCTTATTCCTTTCTTTTTTTCTCAGCTGTTCGTCGTTAAGATGTTTTTGGTCTATCTTTGCGTCTTCATCCAACTGGGTCCCATGTCCAATCATCTCGTCGCTGTTATTATTCTTTCTAAGTATAACCATCTCCGTTCCATTATTACTTTACTTACTGGTTCTCTCTCCGCCCTTTTTAGTAATTTCTGTGCTAACATATATCTTGCCACTTAACTCTGATTATAAAAACACTTGTTTTGGAACACGCCAATTTCTCGATTATATACAACGGTTGAATGATACACCCTTCATGATATATCTGAAACAAATCCAAAAAATAAAGAGCTTCCAGTCTTTCTACTGGGAGGGAAAAGTGGGAAAAAAGGGTGAAGAGAGGCTATGAATGATCAATACACTGCAGTTTCTGTAAATATTATGTTTATTTATGGAAGCAAACAAAAGTTATCTATCCATGCAATRCTAATAAATAAATTTATTTTACATATAGAAAAAAATATAACATTTGACTTATAAAAGCTTTCCATGAAAGAAACTGAAAATATGTAATATTTTGAAGCATAAACAAAGATGAAACAACATAATTTACTTATATTGAGTCTGAACTGAATKAACCGCTGTTATGAACTTAAATAAGATACTAGAGAGATATCATGCAAAAATACACCGCGGTCTGGTAAACAAAGTACAGCCATTCAGTAGCGTCATGGTTCCCGTGGTTCTATTCGGGGATGCAAAACTTTAGTGATAAGATGACTTTCATCAGCGTATTAAGGATGACATAGTTCCTGTAGATCTTCACGTTTGAATCAGTCGGGGCAACACCCTAAAAACAATCAATATCAACACAATCATCCACACTGATCTATAGCTAATAGCAACAAAAGTGTTTTGGCTGAAGTAATGGGTACAATATTTCCTAGAATATTCCTTAGAAAATCCGACGAAGTGGGAACCACGCCCCAAGCATTAGCAAGTGCTTTGTGAAACTTTTTACTACGAATCCTGACGATAAGAGAACTTTACATTTACGTAAAAACGAACCATTTCTATCTACAGTGCTGTGCAGTCAGTCGACGTCAGTCCAAGCCGGCAGCATGYTCATTTGTAAGGGTAGGTAAAATTGTGCATAACTATAGCACTTGAGTTGCATCCTTCCAATCAGTACCCGTGATGCAATGTAGAGCGAATAGCACCCATCATATTTTCCTTTCAACACAAACATAACCAACTCAAATTGGATATATTTATGCTTCCCGTCATGCTTTGCTAGCGGTCAGTGCKGCAATTTCCGTATCAAATACTCAAATACTAGCATCGATTGTCTTACCAGGTTCGTTTTCTGTAGCTCAGTGAGAAACCATGTGACACTACTGTTCATAGAACTCTCTGTTACTTTATTGATTGAAGGAATTGGTACTTTTCTCTTTGTAAGAATCTGAATAAAAACGAATGTTTAATGTTATATCAGGGTCCACACAATGACTTCCGTTGTTGAATATTAACCCTACCTCTTGAAGTTCGTAGACAGTATCCTGGAGATAGATTCGAGTTATGTTCAGACTTTTYGACATAGCATTATTTTTTGATCCTGAAGGAACAGCCTCGTAGTCACAAGCAAGTTTTACGGGGTCTTCAAATGCTAASAATTGACTATAGAGAACTTTAAACTTGTCGTCCGACTGAAAATGAGAAATATTACGAAAAACATTAGAAATATTATATCAACTGATTGAAATACTGATATATAAATCAAGCATCCASGGGAGTTCCATTAATGCATCGTTATTATACAATTATTTGTTGACCGTATGACTGATATCAAGAAATATATAMACCGAAGTCACAGGTATCTTACGAAGGCGTAGGTCGAGGCGAATAATTGTCTCGGGCCGGTCTGAATAATTTCTTAAATCATTCAACAGCCAAAATASAGCTATCTCCACACCGTAATATTTCTTTGCTTTTTTAAAAGGATTTGGGTTTGAGTGAAAAGGTCACGAGGCTACTCGCGCTCCCTCCACGATCATCACGTCAGAGTTCTAAATTAGTAGATGTATTTAGTGTGTCGAACTTATAAATTTCGACTGGAATTATTACTCTATTTGTCTAGATAGCTCGGGAGACGAAATAACTATCACGATTCATTATCTTGAATCWATTTTCTTATTGAGGCATCCGACAAATTGTATACCGAGATTGTTCGACAAATTTACTTACCGACATTGTTCGACAGTCAATGTTGCCAGTGTTTTGTAAGCCAAGGCGAATGATGGGTGGAATTAGAAATGAACTTCTATTGATGAATGTGTATTTCTTTAACATCTGTGGAAAGAAAAAGCTTTGTTCATCTCCCTGGCTGATGTCCGCTGATGTGAGTCCGAAAACTCTTGAAACAAAACCTGAACCCCCAGTGCCGGTTTGAATTTCGAGGAAAGAAACCCGAGCTTGTAAATTACACTTGTAAATAGTGTACAATGACATACTGAAACTTTGATGTGTGTGCTTCATAAATATTGCCTACAAATTAATGAAACATGACCGTTTCCAATATCGACAATATCGCAAATTAAATGCAGGCGGCCGCGTGTGCTGTTTATGACGTCATATATGTGGATCACGCCCAGAGTTCATCTTTATCAAAAGAACGAGTWACAAGGAAGCAATAATAGTGAAAAAGACACACATAAAGATAACGAASCCGTCAAGCAGAAATAAACCAGAAACACTCACCAAATCAGTTGAAGCTTTTACTTTACTTTTCAGWACCAACGATATCAAAATGTAGATTCCTGAAGGTGCTGTTCTTTGAAGACCAAGGGTATTGCTAGCGGCAGTGCTTTGGGTTGTAGTTGCTGTTGCTTTTGGTTTGCAGAAACCACTTGAAATGTAATTTAGTAGAAGAAGAACGAAGACTAATTTTGCCAGATCTACCATGTTTCTAGAGTTGTAATAGTTTTTTATCAGTTATTAATTTCCCGACATAGCTCTATCGATGTTATAATGACCATACAGTCCTAATCAATCTCGGTAATATATATGTACCGTAATGAGTTTTCTGTTACAAGAACACAAGACGTCCCATTTTGATATTTCTGCCTAAATGTAGGGACATTCTGTTCCGTATTTTTTTTTCTTCTCCTTTTGTTGCTGATAATTTGATTATATAAATGCATATATAAATCTATTTGATTTACTAACCTTGATAATTTACAGTCTCCTCTTGCACTACTGATTTTGTCTTCCTACAATTCTTTCTGTACTGAACAACTTTAGTGAATCCTAAGGGTACTAACTCGTTCATTTTTATAGTGTTTTTTAACCATGGATTTTTTCCCCAGTGTTGCAATAATATATCATAAACCCAAAATACATTTTTCAAACTGAAAGAAACAACGTTCAAATGTTCTTCCATTTTTTCCTTGAACAAAATGTGATTTTTCAATC